CGTGATACGATCCAACGATGCACGATGCCGCGGCCAATTACGATGTTAACAACGTTACGCGCGCGCGCGCGCACCACTGTGAAACTGAATTTACCGCTGGTGGTCCATTTTTAACGCTGAAATTTTTCTCCGGAACGGGGAGGGGAAAAGAATCGCGCGTACAGAGATTTCTCCGGCCACCGTTCTTTCGAAACCGAACGTTCCGTCCTCTTTCTCCCCTGTTCTTTTTTTCGAGCCTATTTCCTCCGCGCACCCTTTTCCATCGTGTAACTCTTTGTTTGCGCGACTAACCGCGATTATTTCTTCCTTTCAGCCCGGGCTAAGTTTTTTTACTTTTTTCTTTTCTCTCTCTCTCTCTCTCTCTTCGCAGAGGAGAAGATTGGATTTTACGTAGTTTCCGGATCTCGTTCGTTATCGAACTCGCAAGTTTTCCCTTCTCGTTCTGGAGAATCTTTTTTTTTCCATCGTTTTTTATTTTCTCTCTTTTTTTTCTTTCGCTATTTTTCGATTTCTTTTTCCGCTCCTGTTTTTACGCGGGTCGTGACGTGCGTATGACGCGCGACGCGTCTCTTTGTCGTTGAATAAAAAGATCAGGGAGTTTCTTTTTCTTCTCGGAATTTTTTCTCGAAAATTTTCTTCATTATACGACTTTAACGACCGAGCTTTTATTTACGCGCGAAATTCCACGTTCGTTATCCCAAATTGTGATTTCTTTTTATTAAGCCATGCAGAGTTTTTGGACAGCGTTTTTAAACTCCTCTTATCCTCCGCTTATTAACCAAACCGTTGGAGCAATGTTGTTAAAAATCGACAGAAAGAACGGACGATCTATTTCCACAAAATTCGAAGCTTGGACGAAAAGTAAACATTCTCTTTCCCATATACTATCAGGCTTTTATGATACATCAATCTTTTTATCGATTCTTGTACACACATCCGTCACGTTACATTAAAATTTATATAATAAAATCGTCGCCTCGACGACGAATTAATAATACGAAATCTTTTTAAATAACTTTAATTCTCGATAATTCGGAGAATCGATCTTGCCTTTTCTCGCACGAATTCACGCATAACGTGATCAATTCATTCGATTATAAATTATAAAGTGTTAAAAAATTAAAAGATCCTTGATAGTTTTAGGATCGAGAAAAGTCCATAAAGACTTGGACACGATTCTGTGCAACTCTCTTGCGACATTTTCCATGTTTTAGCGAATGTAGCCTAAATAAAAGAGAAGGAAACGGGGGTAGATGATCGGCAACAGAGGTTCCCGAAGTAAAGACCGATGGTGTGCGGTCTGGCTCGTGAATTTTTCACCATTTCACCCGGACGTTAGCCCGCCTCTTATTAAACATGCACGCGTGTTCGAGCGTTTTTTCATTTTTAAACAAGAGAGATCCAAGGGAGCGGGCCCGTTGCCGCATAAAATTTTAATCCGACTTAAACGTGTCAACCAGTAGGAGAATCCGAACGATAGCTGATCCTGCTTTAGCCTCGTTTGAATTTTCATCAGAATACGACTTTATTGAGTTTTCCCCCCTAATGTCATCATACAATGCTTCTTTTCTTTTAACAGATTATTTTATTTTTTTTTTAAATTATATAAATCTTTCTTTTCAATAAATATCCTTCAAAAAAGTATTTTTCTTATGCGCATACGAATAAGAATGAAATGATTTTAAGTAATTTAATTCGAATAAAGGATTAATTCCATCAACATGGAAATCAACGTTTTCATTCCACCAATTAAAATCCATTCTTCTTCTATATCTCTTAATTGAATCTAATCTCGAAACAACGTTCGTTTCGCCACGAGGCGGGCAAGAACTCGACTTCTTCCAAAGTTTCTTCAAAGAACGGTGGTGTGGTCGATGCTGTTTCGAGTCCACTTTTAACCGAGTCTTGGCTCGAAAAAACGAAGCGAGACGAGGTGAAAGGAGGAGACACGAGA